GGGGTTCAATTCCACTGTCGAGTGTACCAGAGGCAACTGATCAATGTTCCTTTCTTTCTCTTTCTCTCTCTCTCTCTCTCTCTCTGTCTCTCTCTCTCTCTCTCTCTCTCCCCTCTCTCAAATCAATAAAAAAAAATATATATGTATAAAAACATATCCTGGAATTGTTACCAGAAAGAGGACCTGGCCCTGAGCAGGTCTGCCTAGGGCCAGCAGTGGTGTCTGGGTTCTTGACTTCGTGCAGGAATAAGTTCACAACAGGAGTCCAGGTGAGTTTAGAGGACGTTTGTTAAAGCTGGGGGCGTGAAACAAGGAAGGGCTGGGAAGTGAGCCTAGGCCGGGCTGCTTTGGCTAAGAAGTCAGAGAAAAGGGGGCCTTGGGGACAGGCTCAGGGGGTTTGTCTGGGAGGAACTGCTGGTGCCCTTTGCTGCCCTGGTTGCAAGCCTCGTGGGGTCCCTGAGAGTTTAGGAGGTGCATGCCTGTGGGGGAAGGAGGAGAAGAGGGGAGGGGGGAAGGGCATGGGCAAGCTCCTGGGAAGGAGAGCACCCGCTGGGTCCTTTGTCTGGAGGCTTTTATCTCCCTCTGGCAGGTGGAAATCTTAGGGCAGGTCCCAGGGAAGGTTTCAACAGAATATTCATCAGCTTTATGCTGATGGACCAAAATGAGGTTTATTTTCATTTGTCCTTGAGCCTGGTTGGCAAATAGCACTAATTAGATTTCTGTCCCTGTCTCCCTGCGTAGGGTGGCTGGGGAGGAGAAGTGCAAACCATTTACTCTTAAGTGTCCCTGGCTTAGGGAAGACAGGATTTACTAGGTGGCTGCAAACTGCTGTTCAACTATCTGTCTCAGTTTCCCTACTACACTAGTGCTGGCTTACGAGCCTCAGAATGAGGATTTAAGAAACACACACTCGTTGATGATAAAAAGGATAACATGCATAAAGAATGACTCATGCCTGGTACCAAAGACAGAAGCTTTAAACTACCAGGACCGTTTCTGGTAGTTTTCTAAAAGCAGTTGGGGGGAGGAGGTGGTCATGTCCTAGGGCAGTATTTTTCCCTAACAAAAGTCAATCTTCCCCTGAACTGTCTGTTTGTTGTCATTTTGCATCAGGATAACATACCTGATAACAAGCCTTTAGAATAACAAAAAAGTAATTTCCTTTCCTCTGCCCCCAAAGCACCACAGGGGAGACCACAAATCCCTTCCTTGTTATTGTTACTGTGTTCATTGTTGACTGTTAACTATCCTGGACCCCCCTACATTAAAAAAAAAAAAAAAAGGTATGTTTTTATTGATTTCAGAGAGGAAGGGAGAGAGATTGAGAATCAATCAACTGCCTCCTGCACACCCTCTACGGGGGGTTTTGCGGGCAACCTGGGCATGTGCCCTGACCAGGAATCGAACCTCTGTCAGGGGCAGAAATATAACATTGGGGACCAGCTATTAGTTATATAAGAAATGAAATAAGAACTATTAATCATGCTCTGTTAACCAGGATGGTTCTGGTCTGATTCGGGCAAGCACATTCTAACCCGGCTGAGAGTTGCATGCTCTGGGACATGAGCGCTGACAGCAGAATGCAGCCCATCCTTCTTTCCCCAACGGCCTATCATTATGGAAATGGCCCAAACAATCTAGTCCTGGAGGCACCTGCTCTTTACAACCCAGCCTGTAATCTGGTCCTACGACACCCCCCTCCCCCAGCAGCCCACACAATTTGTAACCTGAGGTGATTAAACCGTGCCCACTTCCCCAGGCCTGTAATTCCTATTTTCCCACATAATCTCTGTCCTTCTAACCATATAAGCATCTGGTTTATGGGGGAGGGGGAGAGCAGATTTTCGTGGGTGACCTGCTGCTCCTCCCATACTGCTGGCATTATCGGAATAAATGCTCATACAGGATTCAACCCCATCTGCTTAATTGGCTCAAGTCGTGTGATGGGCAGCTTGGACCCACTGGTTGTCCCGTTTCACCTCGACCTCCTGGTTGATGGGTCAACGCTCAGCCACTGCCAGGCTATGCATTTTACTCCTTATCCAATCCCAGAGGTTTCCCTGCGTTACTTTCCCCCACCTCCCGAATCTATCACCAATGGATTTCATGATGTACCCTCCTTAGATCTCCCCCTTTGATTTTGATGTTTAAAATCCGTGGTAAAACTGCCATTTTTTGGAACATTTTCCTTAATCCGTTGAGATTTTGCTTCCCAGCAAGTGTCTTCAGTTTGGCTCAAATAAACTCATAAAAATTCTCTATAGATTTGAACACGGACAGTTCTTACAAATCAATAAAAAAGACAAAACCCTCCAAAATAGGCAATAAATAGCACTTCACAAAGGAAAATATAGGATTGGCCAATAAACAAAGATAAACTTTCCACATCATTTGTCATGAGGAAATGCAAACTAAAGTCACCCTGAGCTGCCACCACATACCCACCAAAATGGCTAAAATGAAAAAGACTACCACCACCAAATGCTGACAAGGATGTGGGTGGAGCAACTGGAACTTCATACATTGCTGGCTGGAGTGTAAAATGGCAGAACTGCGTTGGAAAACTGGTTGGCACTTGCCTATAAAATAAACATACATCTATCTACCCAATGACCAGCAATTCCGTATCTAGGTATTTACTCAAGAGAAATAAAAACATATACGTCCACAAAAAGTCTTGTGCAAGAATATTCAGAGCAGCTTTATCCACAATAGCCCCAAACTGGAAACCATCCAAATGTCCATTGTCTGGCAAATGGATAAACGAATTGCGGTATGTTCCTACAATAGTATAATACTCAGCAATAAAAAGGAACAAGTCACTAATATACTCCAACAACATAAATGATTATGCTAAGTGAAAGAAACTAGGTACAAAAGAATACACACAATACTAATTCCACTTACATGAACGGGTAAGACTCGCCTGTGGAGTGGGGATGTGTGTGGCAGGGATTAACTTGGGAAGAGACATAGGGGAACTTTTTGGAAATGTTCTCTAGGGATGTGGGTTACACAGGCACCTGCATTTGTCAGCTTAATGAACTGTATCCTTAATATCTGTGAACTTCACCACATGTGAATTATGCCTCAATAAAAGAAAGAAAAAATAAAACAAAGACAAATAAAAAAATCTCTAATATAAATACCTGAATCAATATGCTTTGTTACTGGACCGAAGGAAACCTTTACCATTCCAAGGCAAAAACAAAAGACACGCACACAACTTTTAAAAAGTAAAACAGTGAAAACAGGATAGACTAACATTCCTCAGACTACGAACCAACAATGGGACCTAATGTAAACCACCTGAGCTCTCCTGGCCTCGGTTTTCTCATCTATAAAATGGGAGGAAGAGCCCTGAGTGGTGTGGCTCTCAGTTGGTTGGAGTGTGGTCCTGTACAGTAGGGGTGGGTGCAGGAGGCAAATGATCAAAGTTAGTTTCTTTCTTTCTTTCTTCTCTCTCCTCCTCCTCCTCCTCTTTTCCCCCCTCTCTAAAGAAACAAACAAAAAAATCAATTTAAAAAAATGGGAATGAAATAATTACAGGGTTACATAAAAATTAAGGTTATGCAAATCTAGCATAGTACCTGGCACACTGAACCTTAATAAAGGGTGGTGGTAGGAAACAATTAGAAAATGCATGAATAAGGTCCATTTTACCTACCTGGCAATGGTTTATAAGTTTAAGAAAGAACCCTTCCAGGGGACTCTTATTTGAACATCTTCCCAGAAGCCTACCCTTTTTTTTCCTGAAAACCTGCCCCTTCCTGATAACTGATGGCATTCCAGCCACGTGGCTGGTGAGAGGAGGGGCGGGTGGGGGAAGAAGGGAGAGGTGCCTTGTTCTTCCGTGGCCCTGGCTTAACACTGTTCCTGTAAATCAAAGTTTTGGATAACCAAATTATATGTAAAGGTATGAGGAAAACTATCACTGTTTTTAAAAAAGTCTAAAATTGTTTTGTGAAATAAAAAATACTTTTAATAAAGATTACCAGTACTTAAGCCAGGTTTCCATTAACTAGGTTTCCCTAATGTGGCATTCTTACACCTGCTGGGAAGTTTTCTAACCTTTCACAGGGCCACATATTTCCAAATGCTAAGACATGCACCCCAATCACCACTTTCCACAAAGAGCATGCTCCCTCGTGGAGAAAGCGAGCGGAGTGTTCTCCTTTTAGCACACGGATACTGTCGGGTTGGCTCACCGCCAGCAGTGGGCTCAAGTAGATTTATCCTTTGCATAGATCACATCACGAAGTACATTTGCCTAATGCGGTGCCCTAGATTTTGCAAATCACATTCACTGATGTACGTGCAAGTCTGCAAATTTGAATGTTTGCAAGGAGGACACAAGTCGTTTGTATAAAAGAGTCGGTCTTGATTATCAGGAAGAGCACGAAAAATTCTGAAGTCTCCTCCTATCTGTTTGCTAGACAGTCATTTTACATTTCTGTAAAGGATTTCCTGGTTTGTAGCAAAGGTAGGGTTGAGCCAAGACACTGAGGTTCTAACTAGTATCTGCATTCGCACTGAACAATAGTAAACCCCACACATACCATAGATCTGCCTGAAAACTTTCAAGGCCAAAAAGTTCCATTGTGTGTCCTGGGCCCCACTCAAGGAAAGTTGAAACTATAAATAGCACAGAGAAGACCACGGTCCCTGGGAGAAAATGTTTTGCTTAAAATGGCACAACTACACAATTCGATATGTCATTCATACATATATATGTATATGTGTGTGTGTATATATATAATCTCCTGAATATCTTTCAACAACAACAACAAAAAAACTCTGATAATTAAGAAAATTGTGTTCTCACTAATGAAGTCCTGCATGCTATCTTACTACCATGTTTAAGGTATTTCCTCGTGATGCAGTGGTATTATTCACCTGAAAAGTGGCTCAGGTGTAACCCTCCATCAAGATGTCACAAAACCTGAAATTGAAATGCAAGGGGACCCCACTCCGCGTTGGCGCGGCCTAGGGGTGCTCACCATCCACCTGGAGCATAACTGGGCGGAGCCTCAGGTTTCCTCACCGCCTCTGATAATCGTTGCTCCCATACAAACATCTTTAAAAGTTCCAGCCTCAAGAAGGAAATCAGACTTGCCTGCGGTCTGATAAGAAAGGTATAGGGATCACCTGTCGATTAGCAGAAAAATGGGTGTAAAATGGCTTCCCCGGGCTGATCGGAAGGCAGTAAATCCCTTCCTAGGGCTTTACAACAGACGTGGGGGTGGCGGGGTGGGGGACGACGGTGCCGTCCACGGAGCGACAGGAACCCTCAACCATTTCATCTCGGACCCGAACGCGCAGCCCGAGGCCAGGTGCGGGCAAAGCTTGGGCGCACGGGTGACTAACGTGCCCAGTCACCCCACGGCGCGGCCCAGACCCGTGGGGACACAAAGCCCACCGGGTGTCAGGAAGAAAGGGAGGAAAACACGTGCTCCTCGGATAAGACCCGCGGTCTCGGCCACCAAGTGCACTTCCATCCGGAACCGCGGCCGCAGCGCGCTCTGTGCCCAGGGCTTTGGGGCGCGCCCCGGCCCACC